GTGGCCGCATTGTAGAGAAGAGTGTCCGAATCGTTGGCACGAAAAGCACTGTGCTGGGCCGGATGATCTGTACGGTTCTACTATGACTTTAACGTAAAATAGGTTGCTAATAGTGAAAATGTCTTTAACATTTGGTGAGCGTTTTAAGGATACCATATGTATTGGGATTCTTTTGTCGCCTTTTTGGAAAGCACGTATAAAATTAGGTTCAAATCCGATATCAAAAAGTTCTTTTGAGAGCTCGTCTTCGGTTACGTCGATAGGGATGCCTTTAATTGCTATTTTAAGAGACTTTTCTTGGGGAAGAGCGAAGGTGTGGTAGTCAATCTTGTTTTCGGTCAGGAATTTTTGAACTAGGCGGAATGAGGTTTCTTCGGGACAGTTTAGTTGGATTTGCCAAGGAATTGATGTGGTTTTTGCAGATACTTTGTCAAGGCCTTGTATTGAATACAAGTTTTTCGCAATTTTCCGCCATGGGTTTTCCTCGCATGTTTGAATAAGGATCGGTGGTATGCGGAGAGTTTTAATATCATTAGCAGAGTTGTTCGTAGGTTTGTTTTCACAAAGTTCGGGTGTTGGAGAGCGTGTGGTTGATGATTCGCTTGAGCTACTATGCCAGCTATCCACGGAGTTTACTGATTCAGATGAAGGTGTTGGCGATTTAGGTTGCGTTCGTTGAGGACCTCTTTTCGTCGATGGTGGGTTTGACGATCTCTTTTTTCTCTTGGTCATTGCGCGAGGGATGGAAACCGGTGTCCAAAGCTTCGTTTTGATTTGAGAGAATCTGCGAGGAGGGTCTCCGAATTTGCGAGTGGCCCAAAGCTGAGATACGAGCTTTCAAAGTTCTGAAGTTGGCCCACCCACTTCACCCGATTTTTACCAAACCGGTGTCCAAAGCATCGTTTTGATTTGCGAGAATTTGCGAGGAGGGTCTCCGAATTTGCGATTGGCCCAAAGCTGAGATACGAGCTTTCAAAGTTCTGAAGTTGGACAACCCCCTTCCCCCGATTTTTACCAAACCGAAGTCCAAAGCTTCTTTTGATTTGCGAGGGCGGTCCCCGAATTTGAGAGTCAAAATTCCAACCCTTACGATTTTTCAAAGTTTTCCACCCAAGCCCTGACTTGTAGTCAGAAACTTTCAAAACTGGTGTCAAAACACTTGTTATAATTAGCAAGCATTTGCAAGTAAAGTTATAGAATTTGCAAGTTACTCAGAAAGCCAGTAAGATCTTTAACATTTTATAAGTTAGCCCACCAAGATTATCCCAGAATTTCAAACTAGGTATCAAACAAATGCTAATGATTAGCAAGTTCATTTTGATATTTTGCTAGTAATTTGAGTGGCCAGTAAAAGTTGTCAAAGTTACAAAGTTGGCCCACTCAAGTTGCCCTAAAACATCGAAATTCGTACCAAACTATAGATTTTAATTCAGCCGATTTTCACCAAACCGGTGTCCAAAGCTTCGTTTTGATTTGAGAGAATCTGTGAGGAGGGTCTCCGAATTTGCGAGTGGCCCAAACCTGAGATACGAGCTTTCAAAGTTCTGAAGTTGGACAACCCACTTCACCCGATTTTTACCAAACCGAAGTCCAAAGCTTCTTTTGATTTGCGAGGGCAGTCCCCGAATTTGGGAGTCAAAATTCCAACCCTTACGATTTTTCAAAGTTTTCCACCCAAGCCCTGGCTTGTTGTCAGAAACTTTCAAAACTAGTGTCAAAACCCTCGTTTTAATATGCAAAGAATTTGCAAGTCCACTCACGAAATTTGCGAGTCAAAATTCCAACCCTTACGATTTTTCAATGTTTTCCACCCAAGCCCTGACTTGTTGTCAGAAACTTTCAAAACTGGTGTCAAAACACTTGTTATAATTAGCAAGCATTTGCAAGTAAAGTTATAGAATTTGCAAGTTACTCAGAAAGCCAGTAAGATCTTTAACATTTTATAAGTTAGCCCACCAAGATTATCCCAGAATTTCAAACTAGGTATCAAACAAATGCTAATGATTAGCAAGTTCATTTTGATATTTTGCTAGTAATTTGAGTGGCCAGTAAAAGTTGTCAAAGTTACAAAGTTGGCCCACTCAAGTTGCCCTAAAACATCGAAATTCGTACCAAACTATAGATTTTAATTCAGCCGATTTTCACCAAACCGGTGTCCAAAGCTTCGTTTTGATTTGAGAGAATCTGCGAGGAGGGTCTCCGAATTTGTGAGTGGCCCAAAGCTGAGATACGAGCTTTCAAAGTTCTGAAGTTGGCCCACCCACTTCACCCGATTTTTACCAAACCGGTGTCCAAAGCATCGTTTTGATTTGCGAGAATTTGCGAGGAGGGTCTCCAAATTTGCGATTGGCCCAAAGCTGAGATACGAGCTTTCAAAGTTCTGAAGTTGGCCAACCCCCTTCCCCCGATTTTTACCAAACCGAAGTCCAAAGCTTCTTTTGATTTGCGAGGGCGGTCCCCGAATTTGTGAGGCAAAATTCCAACCCTTACGATTTTTCAAAGTTTTCCACCCAAGCCATGACTTGTAGTCAGAAACTTTCAAAACTAGTGTCAAAACCCTCGTTTTTATATGCAAAGAATTTGCAAGTCCACTCACGAAATTTGCGAGTCAAAATTCCAACCCTTACGATTTTTCAATGTTTTCCACCCATGCCCTGACTTGTTGTCAGAAACTTTCAAAACTGGTGTCAAAACACTTGTTATAATTAGCAAGCATTTGCAAGTCCAGTTATAGAATTTGCAAGTTACTCAGAAAGCCCGTAAGATCTTTAACAGTTTGGAAGTTAGCCCACCAAGGTTGTCCCAGAACTTCAAAATAGGTATCAAACAAAAGCTAATGATTAGCAAGTTCATTTTGATATTTGGCTAGTAATTTGAGTGGCCAGTAAAAGTTGTCAAAGTTACAAAGTTGGCCCACTCAAGTTGCCCTAAAACATCGAAATTCGTACCAAACTATAGATTTTAATTCAGCCGATTTTCACCAAACCGGTGTCCAAAGCTTCGTTTTGATTTGAGAGAATCTGTGAGGAGGGTCTCCGAATTTGCGAGTGGCCCAAACCTGAGATACGAGCTTTCAAAGTTCTGAAGTTGGACAACCCACTTCACCCGATTTTTACCAAACCGAAGTCCAAAGCTTCTTTTGATTTGCGAGGGCAGTCCCCGAATTTGGGAGTCAAAATTCCAACCCTTACGATTTTTCAAAGTTTTCCACCCAAGCCCTGGCTTGTTGTCAGAAACTTTCAAAACTAGTGTCAAAACCCTCGTTTTAATAAGCAAGAATTTACAATTTAACATTAACCAATGTGTTGTGTGTGTCAAAATCCACTAGTACACCAATTTAGAAGGTGTATGACGACATTCACTAGGTGATTGTCAGCACTCACCAATTGCGGACACTCACAGTGACATACCGCCTTCGCTCAGAATCGTTTTTCTTATACAATGATATTGTATCATTGAATTCAAATTTAATAGCATCTATTATACAGTGACCAACTTGTAACCTACTGTACAGCAGAGCGACATCCACTTACCCACCTTTTTAAATCTTAGGTTTAAAAGTTTTCTACAATGCTTCATAACTGGAATATGCATGTAATTTTTACATTCAAGTTCAAGTGTCCATCATTATTGGTATCACTTGGGTAATTGTTGGTTATTTATATGGGATAGGTATAAATATTTATGGATTATTTTTTATACAATATCAAGTATCAACAATTTTAGGACTACTTAAAATATATCAATTAAATACAAATATTGGATACAAAAGCTTGACAATTTAATAGAAGTTTCCTACTATATTGTTACAATGACGTTTGAAAAATATTAAAAATCCTTAGTCACAGTTTTTTTTTATAAGTATTCAAAATTCAAAAATTGACAAAATATGAAAAATTACGAACATTAGCAAATTATTTTGAGTCGGAAATTCATAAAAAATTTTCTTCTTAAATCTAAGGTTTGAAAATTTAATACAAGATTCCTCATAAGTTTTTCTACCTTTAAAAAAAAAGTCTACAAGAAAGTCAAATTAAATTTTTTAAACGTTTGAAATTCATATTCTTACAACATTCCATATTTACTCGATTTCTCATCTAACGATTTCCTTATTTTGTTGTAATTAAAAAACGAATGACTGTAGATACTTGAAAATTTCACTGAATGTTTATATTAGCCATTTCTATACACGATAAATTTTTTAAAATAATTTGACTCTTTTTGAGCTGTTTACGGACATTGTCACTTTTCAATTTTTTTAGTTTTTTTGTCTATAAATATCAATAAAACTTTTTTTGTAAATAACGTAATTATTTTATTTTTTATTACCTTAAATGATTTTGTGTTGTTTTCCATGTTTTAACTAAATACGATGTTCTGAGACCTATTCTCAAAACAATTTTTTTTTACTTGTTCATTATATTTGGTTGTTATTAACCTTGACAAATTATGTTGATTTCTTAATGTCTATGTACCACTCTTACTATTCACACTAAAATAATATTTGGGCAAAGTAGTTAATAAAATATTGTAACTTAGCAATAAAACGACTGGATAGAACGAAACCGTTGGACAGATGAAAACTACACCAATAAAGGCAAACAGCAATACAACGGTGTGATGTTCATCAGTCAAAACAGAATACACGGACCAATCAGCGACGGACTAGGTTGTCAAAAAGGGTATTTATACCGGACACTTTCGACAATCTAGTCAGATATATCATTCAACATCATTCAACATCATATCATTCAACTGTTTGACTGTTTAAGTAGCACCTGTCCAGTTCAGACCGGTCCAGTCGGCGGTCGATCCACCACCTCGAAGTGACGTTCGGCGTCGAACACGGAACTGCTTCGGCAGCACCCGTTTCAAAAACCAAACAACTTACTTCGTAAGTATCACTTTCTTTAGTCCCCCCTTCCGACCACGAGGCTAGTGAACCCGAGGGGTCACGTGGCCGGGTCTTGCATCGAAGCAAAGGCAAACCCACAACTACCATGGTCCGAACCAGGAAACAAAAAGGAACTCCACCGAAAAACAATCCACCACCAACATTATCTGAAGCTCAGGTCACCAATGACCTCGATTCCTCGGGATCTGAAAACTTCATAACCTCGGACGACGACATTGCATCCACTCCCACAAACTCAAAAAGTAGTTACCAAGAAACCTCCATTAACGATACCGACACATCAAACTCAATTTAAAATACTTATGTTACTAAATCTGAACCTCAGACAAGTAATAAAGCAAACTCATCGCCCAAAATACCACCTATCATTATCGATATTAATGCATGGCCATCAGCGTCAAAACTCGTCATACCCATGTTTCCTGGAAAAGACCTTACAGCAAAACTTGTTAAAAATGTTATACACTTACAAGTTATCGACACTGAGACTTTCCGAAAAGCTCAGTCCATCCTCTCAGATAACAAAATTCCATTCCACACTTTTTCTATGGCTGAAGAACGCACTCTTAAAGTACTCCTCAGAGGTATCCCTCCATCTTTCTCTGATGACCTGGTTAAAACTGAACTTGAACTCAAAGGATTCGAAATCCAAACCATACGCCAATTTCTAAAAGACGGCCGCAAACTACCTATTTTCATGATCACACTTCCAAACAACCCATCCAGCAAGCTTATTTTCGAAATTTATATTTTATATTACAATCAGAATAGAACCATCATATCGCTCTTCCGGGCCTGAACAATGTTTCGCATGCCAAGGCTTCGGCCACTCTTCAAATCACTGCAATCACACGCCAAGATGTGTAAAATGCGGAAACAACCACGAAACTAAAACCTGCTCAAAAACCGCAGATCAACCACCTAAATGCTGCAATTGCGGTGACTCCCACAAGGCAAACTACCGCAAGTGCCCAGCGTTCATATCTGCTATGGTTGAAAAACAATCAAATCCTACTCATCCAAAATCAAACCACATCGCTCCAGCACCTTCAGTTATAGAATCAAAGACATCACCAAAAAACACTCAGTCAATCTCTTCATATGCATCAATCAAATCAAATAAACAACCGGAACCCACAGTTACAATCCCGAAACAGTTTTTCACAAACCTCCTAACCGAGGTAATTGGGAAAATTTCTGAATCACAAGACATTAAACAAACAGTTATGACGGCTATCTCAGCCATAATCTCCATTATCAACCACCATGAATAGCTCCCTCCTGATCTTATACTGGAACTGCCAAGGTATAGGAAATAAACGCCTTGAACTTATCCAGCTGATAAATCAACTAAAAATAGATATTCTTCTCTAAAACGAAACGCATCTTCACCACAAGAAGACATTTAACATCCCAAACTTCCACACCTACACAAACAACCGTATCAACTCAGGACAATCTAACTGTGGAGGCACAGCAATCCTCATCCACCACTCTATCACTCATTCTTCAACATATATCAATACTATCTCAATTGAAAACACCACTATTCTTATTCAATATAACGGACGCGAGATTAGACTTAGTACTGTATATAAAAGCCCCGGTTCAACCCTACTCAACACAGACCTAGACTCCCTACTCAACACAAACACATGTGTTATCGTTGCGGGAGACCTAAATGCCAAACACCCAGTATGGCATAGCAACACCACAAACACAGCTGGATCAAGTCTATTCAACCACATGGACCAAAATGACTATTTTGTGACAACTCCCGTAACTCCAACTCACTTCCCTGATAACCATAACCATAGGCCGGACGTTTTAGATGTAGCTCTAATGAGAATTGCTAACATGCAATTCGATATCGAAAATCTGAATGAACTATCATCAGACCACAATCCTATACTACTAAATGTATACAGCCAATCATTTCCTCAACCATTTAAAACAATAACCCTAATAAATTGGAAAAGTTTCTCGGTTAACCTCCACGAATCTATAACTAACCCAAATCCACCTATCAACACAACAACAGATCTCGACCAAGCCGCAATAGAAATAGCTGAATTATTCAAGTCAGCACTCTCAGTCAACTCTACCACTCGCATTTACAACCCTCACAAGGGCCTTCCTCAAGCCATCAAAATCGAAATCACTAAGAAGAAAAGACTTCGATGAATATGGCAACATACAAGAAATCCTGATGCAAAACGCCGACTGAATATACATACTGAAGTAGTTCGTGAATTGCTTCGAGTCCACCGCGAAGAAGAATGGAATAATCTACTAGATAACCTAAAACCAAATGACCCTAAAGTATACAGAATCGCCAGAAGCCTAACACACAAGCAAGCGGCCACAGAACCCCTTCTTGGCCCAAACGGTCTTATTTTTGATCAAGAATCCAAATCCGAACTATTTGCTAACTCACTTGAAACCCAATTCACCTGCCCAGCTGGCGACATCATGACTACTTTAATGGTAAAGGAGAAACTAAAGATCCTCAATCAATCCTATCCCCCAACAATACAACCCATTACTCCAAACGAAGTCAAATCCATCATAAAAACCCTTCCGAGGAAGAAGGCACCAGCCCGGATGGGATACCCAATACAGCCCTGCGACATGCATCTAACCGCACTATATTGCATCTCACTAAAATCTTTAACAGCTGCATACGTCTATCATACTTTCCTAATGTATGGAAACATGCTAACGTGGTCATGATTCCGAAGCTGGGGAAAATCAAATCAGATCCAGCAAACCATCCACCCATCTCGTTACTCAACACAATGTCGAAACTGTTAGAGATTCTTAAACTAAAACGTCTCAAGGCATACGTTTCCCCCTTCGTCCGACCGGAGCAATACGCTTTTCGCCCAGAACATTCTACAACAATCCAACTTACTAAACTTGTCGACGATCTGGCAATCACCTTCAATAGAAAGGAAAGAACAGCGGCAATCTTTCTAGACTTTAAAAAGGCGTTTGACAAAGTCTGGCATCAAGGCGTTCTATACAAACTCCTAACCTTAAATGTACCAGTCCAACTTGTAAATCTGATCAAAGTCTTCTTAACAGATCGAACATTTTCGGTTAAACTAACAACAACGACATCGTCCACTCGGAACATTAAAGCCGGTGTCCCACAAGGTTCCTGCCTGTCCCCATTACTATTCAGTATTTACATCAACGATATACCAACGAATCCCGGGATCAAAATCAACCTCTTTGCAGATGACACAATGTTCTTCTACTCAAGTATGAGTAAAAAGTATGCCAAGGAAAAAATCCAATCCCAATTAAACAGATCGTTATCTTGGCTGGAGAGATGGAGGATATCGATCAACCTTAAGAAGACGGTCGCAATACTGTTTGGTGATAAAACGCCAAAAAACTTGAAAGAGCTCTTTGTAAACAATCACCCAGTACCCTGGAGCCAACAGGTTAAATATTTGGGAATAACCTTAGACTCAAGACTGACGTTCCACAAACACGTCTTGGCCATCCAAAAAAAGACCAGGCAAATCAGGGCTGCACTTTACCCCTTACTGAACTCTCGAAGCCACCTCTCACTCCGTCAGAGATTAACTCTACTCAAATTATACATCATACCAAACCTAACATACGCAGGACCAGCTTGGGGCGCTCTTATCTCAAATCGAGACTGAAGACGTCTCGATTCGGTCTATAATATATCGTTAGGAACAATAACAGCGTCACCCTGATTTATAAGGAACACCACAATTAGAAATTCATCAAACATCGACTCTCTCCAAAACCAAATAATCAGGGCATCGAAGATCATGTCCAACAAAGCAAAAACCTCCAATCACCAATACATCAGATCCATCGGCCGTTCCAAGGCCACTATCCAGTGGAAAAGGAAGAGACCTGAAAATATAATGTAATTACTCTCCAACACACCTTCTACTCCAAGGAATGGGTACACCCCGAAACTTGTGTTAAATGGGAATATTCCCCTCATCCAAAGCAAGGCAAGGCAATCTAGTCAGTCCACTTCAAGCCTTCAAACTGTCAACAATCCAAACCCAGAGTACCGACAGAAGAAGACCCGGACCACCATACAGACCGCTGCCCGACGATTACGCCGCTCCACGGCTGCAAGCCTCGTCCGACCGCCGACCTCCGACGACAACGCCGCTCCACAGCTGCAAGCGTCATTCGATCGCCGACCATCGACAGCGTTATTAAGACGTACCTACAGCCGACCTACCATCGCGGCCAACTGAAACGGTTCTTTTCAGAACAAACACCTTACGTGTACCACCCTCCATGCACCTGTTCAGGCGTCACTGTGAGATAGGACCGCACAGAACACGACTTGCTAGAGTCCGTGAACGAGTGGTTCTAGCTCTCCATTCTTAATTATATAATTATTCATGTCAAATTGATAACACCCGATATTTGTAATTTGGTCGCACCTCTACAGGTCCGATACCGCCCGACACGGTCCGCTTACTTGAGCCAGCCGTGCGGCCCGGTCAATCCCTAATAACTGTAAATAATTTACTTTCAACATTGTACAATAAACTTTATGATACCGTAAACAATATCCTTATTTAATAAAAAACAGTTTGTCGAGCATCGGCGCACTGTTTCAATATATTTTTAAGTAGGCGTACAAACAAAACAAAAGACGTTTGCCCATATTGTGATGGGCTTTGAAACCTTATTGATAACAGTTGATAGATAATATAATGTCTATATAATATTCTAACACGTCTTGTGTACCATATAACTTTTTTGTGTGATCGAGCAATAAATATTATCTTTTGTTAAAACAATATTATACTTACTGTTCATATGTTTACCGAGTCATAAATCTGTACCCCGTTATCTCATGGCCGTCGTATTCGCTTCAGGCAGGGGTGTGACTTTCTATACGTCCGTAATAGGCACTCCGAGCTAAGAAAATGGACGCATTCCACGTGGATGTCTTGACGTAAGCTATTTCGACGACTGCACTTGCAGTCTGCAGCAATATGGCACGAGCGGCCGTAATTTTGCGGGATTTATTTCAATTCCACCGCGGTACTGTCGTTGCACCGGTTCGTTTTAGTGGGTACGAAATTTGGTGAATTGTGCGCGTCCCCAACGCCCCAGAACAAGTGCATGAGCGTCAACAAGACGGATGGATATCGAGTGACTTGCAGTGGCGGTTTCCGCGAGGATTACTCGGCCGAAGAGTGAGTAAGTCGCGAGCGATTATTTGCGGTGCACCTATATATATATATATATATACCTATGTATGTATATATATATATA